CAAATCATTAAAGTTGGGACTAATATTAGTTCAAAATCTATGAAGACAATGGAGGTTAATCATTAAGGAGTCAAGCTAACTAATATTCAATCATAAACGATGAGGCCAATGCTTACATCAGCGAAACTATTGGGATTTTGAAAGGATAGACAATCACTATACGATCAAATTGGAAGGAAGATAAATTCATATATTGGCTCATATTGAAATTCTATATTATTCAGATGAAGAATCGAATGGGGAATGCAAAATGTATGAAAACATCAATATTGGACATGATTAAGTAAATCGATGAATTTGATTTCTAAAAGTATTTATATTCTGAAGTTACAACTCGATGACTGGAATGGGTGTTTAAAAAATTCATTTTGGGTAGAACATGTGATGAGACTATGTTTTTTTATTTTAGATTTATTTTATCGCGGATACGTTGTTTTATTTTTTTTATTTATTGTGACCTTGAAAAAGGTTAAAAAATTAGAGGTGGGCGCGGGCCGTGAAATTAGGCATAACCCATCGTGTCACGGCGTGAGTGTGAATATATTTTAAATTCCAAGGCGTAACTGAGCGTGATCGGCTTTCCCAAAATTTTCCCCGGGCGTGATCGGGCGTGAACATAAATTTCCCATGAATCACGGAAATTTTAATTTTTTAAATTGTTTTTTTATAAATATAAATTAGCAATTTTATAATTATATATATTTTCTTATTTAATTTAGTTCTTTTTTAAAAAAGAATAATGAAAGCTAAAAATCTTCCGCATTTTATAAACAACATCCGGTATCATTTAGTTGGTTCTATTTTCTTTTTATGTTTAGGTGTTTTTTGTCGCGAGACTTTATGTTAAATTTTGCTTAAACTTTTTACAGAAAAGTCAGTTATATTTTATTTATAAAGATCTTCAATCTTTAAATGCAACAGAAGGTGAAGGATTTTACAAGCTAGGCCAAGAGATTGTTGGTGTTACATATGGATAACAAAATATAAAAGTTGTGAACTGGAAAACTCTCATGAATACTATAGGTCCAAAAATATACCATGTAATAAAATTTAAGATTAAAAGCATGGACAATAATAATTACTTGTCCATAATCACTGATATTTGGACGGATGACTATAAAAAATCTAAGTTTTTTAACCATTATAGGACATATTATCATTAAGGATTTTAAATTAAAAACATTTGTTTTGGACACAATGACAATGGATGAAAAAAACGTCAAAATTAAAAGTGTAATCAATTAATTTTAGGAGAATATACAGAAGTAGAAAATACTTAAATAAATGTGTTGTGAGTGATAACAGAGCAAATCTTATAAGTGCATTCAAAGATTACGAAACGCTTGCATGTATATGCCATATACTAAATAATATTATGCATTATATTTTTGACAATTGTTTAACTGAAATAGCCATAAAAGGCTTAATTCTAGATTCGAATTTCAAAAGACTTAAGTTTTTAATAAAAGAAGAAAATGATATATATAAAACAATCTTGAAAATGCTAAATGATATAAAATTAGATGATATGCATAAGTCAATGCCAACTATCATTTTTAACTTTCCTAACTTTCCTAAACTCATAAAAAACCGTATATTCTAAATGGTCAATACCAACTATCACTTTCCTAATTCATCTTACACTCATAAAAGACCGTATATTCTAAGTAAAAAATTTAGAGAATTTTTAGATGCATCACCGATGAAAGCTGTGAGGATAACCTTAAAAGATTCATATAAGATAAATAACAAGACAATATTTTGAAGTTTTGGAAGCAGGAATATTCATTTCCTTTTTTAAGAAAATTATCTGGTAAAATTTTGTCAGCTGCAAGTTCGGCTTCTAGTGAAAGTATTTTTTGTTGCCAATCTCTTATTAGAGGAAAGGCGTACACAATTGAAATAAAAAAAGATGGGCATTCTTCTTTTTCTAAATAAATTTAGATTTATAGATTGTATTTATTTTTGTTATTAATATGGATTATTAAATTAGAGAAATAAATAGAATGAATTCAAAAAAGTGTGAATTTATAGCAATAGTTTAGAAAAATTACCGTGAATTTTCGGGCGTGAATCAAAATATAGCTTGTCGTGAGCGGGCGGGTCGGAATTTTTTTAGTGGTAAGCGTGAATGGGCGTAAATTTTTTTATTGCCACGTGAGCGGGCGGGCTTTAAATAAAAAATTAGGCCGGCACCCACCTCTAAAAAAAATAAATAGAAGAAATTGTTTTTTTTTAAATATAATTTATTTTATTTAAATTATTATATTATTTTTTTTATAAACATTTTAGTCATTAATTTTTCAATTTATCATATTTCGTTTTGAAAAGTTTTTTAAAAAAATAAAAGTTTTAGAAAAAAAAAATGTACAATTTATTCCTTTCAATTTTTTTAAAAGAAAAAGAATATCGAAAACAAAACGGTTAAAAATATTTTAAGAAAAAATCTTAGATTAATATAAGTGTAGTAATTAAAAAGGAGTTGTTCATTGGGTTGATAGTTTTATAACTTTAACATTCATCGACTTGATTATTGTTATAACTTTAACAACTAAATTTAAAAATGGTTCTATAAATAGTTTAAAACTTCTGAGCCCAATTAGCTTGGTTTGGTCAAAGTAGCATGCTTATTGGTAGAAAAAATGAGTCAAACCTATCCCAACCAAATGGGTGATCTGATCGACCAAATATTTCGAATCGAGCACCACTGATTAACCAACCCAGAACTAGCAATTAATGTAATCATACATTGTTTATTTTTCGCTCATTTATATTTTATGTAAATTTTTTTAATGAAAATAAAAAGGTAAAAACAAAGTGAATATTCTTATTATCCTTATTAAGGTTATAACACTACCAATATCCCTTGATAATTGAGAAATGCAACAGAACATTTAAGCCCGTAATTGGACAAAAAGAAACGCTTTAAATAAGGAATAAGAATTAATGTTTAGGCTCATCAAGATTTGGATGATTTTATGTAAGGTTAATGTTAGTGTAAATTTTTTTAAAGAATTTGAGGCAAGCATTGAGACTATTACGTTGAATAATCTTAAACAGTAATGTCGTAACCAAATGAGACCCTAGAATGCAAATTATTAAATGAAAAAGGGCCTTAATGGTCTCCTTGTTGAATGCCTTCCTCTGTAATAAGGAAAATGGAACCAGAATTAAGAGTAATTTTGGAATCATAAAAAGCCTTTATGAATTGGCAATATTCGGGAAGGTGGAAGGAATAAAGATTTTCCTGATTAAAATTGTATGGGTTTGATTTAAACACTACAAGAAGTTTATAAACTTACATCTAAAATGATTTTTATTAAATTACTTTTGCAAATCTGCATATGAAATTTCAAATAATACGGGTCATTCATTCCACGTCAAATCGACCAAAAAACGAGATTTTCAGATGACAATCTTTAAAATGAACCAAACTTGGTGTTGGTATGATAATTATTTATTTAGTATGTTTTAGTAAATTCAAAATTTTAGAGTGCTAGCTCAATCAGATTCAAAGTCGAAAAAGCGTAATGTGTGATTTCATTCTATCTTGTTTTTTAAATAAATACTTAAGATAGAGTAGAGTTACAAATTATATATCATTTTATAACCCTTAAATTTTACATTGGAAAATATTGAAAAAAAAAATTAAAAATTTCAAGTGTTTTCTTATTCCCGGTAAAAATAAAAAATTAACATTGTTAGGAAGGGATTTTTTTGGGTGTTGATATTCTCTAAAAATGTTTATGACCTTTATATTAAACTATTAAATAAAAAATCTCGATAGACATTTTTGTTTTTTAAATTTTTATAATATATATAAATAAAAAAATAATATAGATGGCGTTATATTCAAAAATAATTATAATATAATATTTTTAATAAAAATATGAATTGTATTGGAATTAAAATTAAAAAATCAATTGAGTATAACTAATATGATGTCCTGGGGCGATAATGTAAGCAGGCATTACAGATATGATTATTATTATTAGGACGCTATGCAAATAATTATATTTTAAAATTTTATATTCAAACTAAAATAATAACATATCTAGTATAAATTTTACATATATATAACCAAACCATACTATTTAGAAGGGATTAAAGTATGACGCCTCATTCCAGAAACTCGGGAAATACATACTGTATTTCCTTTAAGTTTAAGTAAACTTAAATCAAAAATATATTATATTCATATGTAGAGGAATTTTAAATTAACAATATCTCAAAATATTTTTATTAAATATATTATAAAAAAAATTTTAATATAGCGCCATCTATATTATCTTTTTTTAATTTGTAAAAATTTTAATAGTTAAAAAAACAAAAATGACTATCGAGATTTTTTATTAAATAGTTTAATATAAAGATAATAAACATTATTAGATAATATCAACACCCAAAAAAAATCCCTTTCTAATGTTAATTTTTTTATTTTTAGCAGAAATATGAAAACACTTGAAAATTTTTAATTATTTTTCGATATTTCCCAATGTAAAAATTTAAGGGTTATAAAATGATATATTATTTGTAACTCATCTTAAGTATTTTTAAAAAAAAAGATTTAATGAAATCACATATTACGCGATTCTCGAGTTTGAAGGCGTATATATTTGGAGCTGGTTGAGCAGGCGGTCTAAAATTAGGATTATATTAACATCTACAACATAAATAACTACATGCCAAGTTTCATTCATTTTTGAGATGATCGGCCGAACTGGACGATTTGTATTATAAAATTTTGTTTTCAATATGTTTGGAATAAAAAATGAGAAACTAGAATAATTTTAAACCTAAAACACATTTATAAAAATAATCCGACACTTTAAGATATTATATGATAAAAAATTTTAATTTAACATTCCTAAAAATGTAACAGACTAAGGTTACCCTTTTCAAAATATAACTAGTTATAGTTCCTCAAAAAAGGTTAGCTAGTTACATTATTAACACTAAATATTAAGGTAAACAATTTTCGATTAATGATAAAAACTAACCTAAATTGCGCAAACACACTTATACCAGAAGGTATGTCAGACATAAAGTTTGTTGAACCGTAAATATTTGATTTCCACTTGGTATGTGAAAATGTAATAATTAATCGATTCAAGGAATATTTTATCATAGTATCTGCCAAGCTGGAAGAGAAAAGTCCATAATGAATCATGTTAGGACCTAATAAAATCAAAAACATTTATATAGAAAATTTAGAAAGTTATATAATACTACTTTTCAGTGTTGTTAAACCTTCAACAAAAAAAGCGTCCAGGTACAGGAATAAAATTTAAAAATGGGTTCGAGTCCAGGGCACAAATAAAAGTGACTCAAAATAAGATTTTTTTATTCATTTATTATTATACTTCAATATATACACATACATAATTTACAAATAAATAATTTAAAAAAAGAAATAATTTATATTTTAAATGTTTTATTATATCGCACAATCATAATATCTTCTAAAATATCATCCTTGAGATTTCCATGTAAATTAGAGAATAAATATTTCAAAGATGAAAATCCACGTTCCACGCTGACCTAAAATAGATAGTTATCTTTATAATACATAAATTATTGTACTTGTGTCGCCGGTACAGCCATGGCGATTCTATACAAGATATATATAATTCTGAATATTTTGAAGAATTTTCTTCCTTTTAAAATATTTGTATCCTTATTTATTCTCTTAACTTCTAATAAATTTTCTATTAAGGATGTAATAGGAATTTTCCTTTCTATCTGATGAAATTTGATTATTTTTCTCTATCTAAAAGTAAAATTTCAAGCTCATCAAAGTTGCTTTCATTGTCATTATTCTCACTACAACCAATAGTTATTGTCATAGCCTCCAATGTGTTGTAAATAATGGAGTTTGCGAATGCCATAAATCCCTAAGATTGTCTTTTGCCATCTGTTTTTGCTCAATACTCAATAAAAATTGATATCAAGGGTCTAAATATAAAGAAGTGTGTAGAACACTATTTTGCAAATATTGTTGCTCTCGAATTTTCATGTAATATTTCGTATGATAACGACTAGTAGATCTTTGAAATCTAATCGGCATCTAATTCATATGCTATAAACATAATTGTTCTGATTGCAATCCTAATGATCATTTTTAAAGGAAATAATACACTAGTAAGGTCCTTTATTTGGCAAAAATCATCTTAAATTAAAAAAATATCATTACTTGCATACAAAATAATTCACTTTGAAAATAATCAACGTATATATAGCATTTTAATAAATTTACATAATAAAATATAAAATGGAAGTCTAGGAAGAAAATTGAAAGAAAAACGCGAATATAAAAAACGAAAAAAAGTTAATAGTAAAAAAAAAATTTATATTTTAATTTAAAAAAATTTTTTATGACACCTAAAACACTTGGACTCTCTACTTTTAAAAAGGGTCCGAGTACAGCCAAAATAAGAGGGTTCTTGAGGGTTCCGGGTCCTGGTCCAGGTTCACATCCCTGCTATAGTTACAATTAAATTGAAAAGGCAAAAAAAACTGAGAATAATATTTGCATATTATAGAACGAAGTTAATATTTATAATAGATGTTAGGAAAGATATAATACTAATAATATTTCAATTGAGTCATTTATCGTAGATGGTTTAAGACCTGATGCTATGATAACTATACCTTGGGCCATAGGAAAATCACTTATATGTGACTACACATGGGTCTCTTCCCTCAAACTTAAATATCAATCCACTTATACAGGCAGAAATTAAAATTATTGACAAATACAAAAATTTTAACAACTTCACATTCACTCCAATAGTTACTTCAAAAATGGCCATTTTTCGCCAAAATTTAACAATAAAATAAGGCTTTTAACAAACAAAGTCAGATAATTTTTATATATGCGTCAAAAAATTCAAGTAGAAATTTTTAGACACAATTAGGGTTTCTTTTTGGGAACTCAATTATAAAATTGTATTTTTAATTATATAGTTTTTTTAATTTTTATAATGTTTTAAAGTATTTTAATTTATTCTTATATTAAGAAACCAAATAAATCACACTAAAAAAATTAAGTAATTAAAAAAAATCGCTGAAAAGTGAAAATAATATATTTCATTTATATATATTTGGTAAAAACTATCTAATTTGGGCATCATTAGGACCAAGATTTGGCTTAACTTAGAAAGTTTCCCAATTTATCAAGACTTTTTACTTTCTAATAGTAGTAGGTTCCCGAATTATCAAGGGCTCATATTAGCCAAATTTGAATGCAAAAATTAAGGGGGATGGAGGGTAAGTTATTTAAATAGTAATTAGAGGTTTATGATGGGCGAGTTTCAACCTACTGATTTCATCGGCGTAAGTAATAAATTAAAACAATGAGCCAGGGATGGGCAGGTGAATTTGAAATATTGACGAAATGAGCTGAAGACTTATATTTATTATTAAAAAAAATTTTAATCCATAATATGGATTATTTTATAAGTTTAAGTAGAAATACATTTAAATAAAGGCTTATATTATTTCACAACTGAAACGCTCAGAATATTTTTAGTTTCCCAATTAAAAAAGGAAAAGGTTCAATCAAAAAAGGAAAAGAAATGCAAATATATTCTTAGGAAACCAGAATAATTATTGGATAGCGCTTTTTTTATATTTGGGGTAAATACATATGAAAAACCTAAAAAAAAAAAATAGGTTTCTTTGACATTTAATTAATGAGTAGGCTTAGAATCGAAAAATAATAGAAAATATGTAAGACATATATTGCGGACTTTATTTATCAAGATATCCTCATTTTTTGTTTATACGTGTACATTGAAGTGTTAAGCATTATCCTAAAAATATTTTGAAAATATTATGATTTGATAGAGTGTCGAGCTCAAAACCGACCACTTATTAAATATTCGATCGACCAAATTTGGTAGTAATATTAATTGAAAAATGTTCATTTTTGTTTTATTTATCTATAAATACGTGTAAAACAATATCCCAAAAAATATTTTAAAAATATCGTGATTTGGCCGATGACCGATTTGAAACCGAAATACTGCATTGCAGGCGTTATCATGGAAAATTCTTTATTTTTGGTTTATACGTGTACATTAACGTGCTAAGCATTATCCTTAAAATATTTTGAAAATGTTATGATTTGACCGAATGTCAAGCTCAAAACCGACCAGATACTAAATATTCGATCGACCAAATTTGCTAGTAATATTAATTAAAGATCTGCAAAGTTAGGGGCGGCCCGAACGGGCTTCGGACCGGGCTCGGGTCTAATTCTATTTAAAATAATCGGGTTCGGGCCGGGCCTAATATTTTTAAGAAAAATTTGGGTCGGGTCGGGTCTGACCTTGGAAATTTTTTAAAATATATCTAAATTTATCAATTTTATATTGAATTTTTTATGTAAAATAAAAATATTTGATTTTATTTATTGAAACTAAACGCCATATAAGATATGTTTTATTTTGAGTAATTATAAAAATTAATTTCTATATTTAAATAAATTCGGGCCTGGCAGGGTCGGTAAATTTTTTTTTAAAAAATTTTGGGTTCGGGCCGGGCCAGCAAAACTCTTTTATTAAAAAATTAGGCCCGATGCAGATCACTAATATTTATTTAAAAATGTTCATTTTTGGTTTATACATCTATAAATACGTGTAAAACATTATCCTAAAAAATATTTTGAAAAATTATGACCGAATGCCGAGCTCAACTCCTACCAATAAATAATCTTAATTATAATAAATTTTTAATGTTCCAAAAAAAATAATTTCAATATTACAAAAAATTATTCCTCCCTCCACCTCCGTCGAGATTACCAATGCCTGATATTTTTCAATTTCATTGAAAATTTATAATTCTAAAAATTTTAAATTATAATATTTTTAAAAATTTGCCATTTTCCTAAAGCTAAAATAATTGAAAAAAGTAAAAAATAATAAACAAATAAATAATAATTTTAAATATTAGCCGTTAAAATTTAAAATTATTATATAATTATAAATCATATTGTTTTAAAAATGTCTGATTTCCTGCCATATTTAAGTTGGTAAGCTAAGGCCGTGCCAGGCCCTTCTAATTGTCTATTTAAACTATATATCTACAATTTTAAAGTAATGAACATTGATATAAACAATTATCAATATAATACAATTGGTTACAATTTGGTAAACAAAAATATGGCGGAGTTTACATTATATATAAATCATGGCTTATTACAAAATGGTCGGAAATTTTTATGGATATCCCTGGTGAGTTAAAAAGTAATTAATTCAAATTTGATTAAAAAGTAATTATATAACCTCGTGCTTGCCTATTTATATGCATAGGACTTTATTGCTCACCCAAGTAGGGTACCCCTATTAAGTTTCCGACCATAAGACAAGGGAAGTCTATCTACTGATCTATCGATCATATAGAGGGGCTTATCAGCGCTGTATAAAATTAAGTATTTGGGTTTGGTGGCCTATTACCCACTATATTGGTGTTTTATTAACAAAAATATGTGTACTAATTATGCTATATAATATATTAGTGTCAAAGGCTCAAATATTAAAGATTATTTTGTTGCGGGGGAGATAAGGCACATTCCTCGGGGCCAGGGAAGCGTTCCTCGTAGGCCAAGAGTTCATCCGATCTGACCGTATTATTGCCTTCGTTTAGATTTAAAGTTTCGTCGAAAAACAAAAATGAGCTTTTCAATTAACATTAATTACTTACAAATTTGATCGTATATTTAGTAAGTCGTGGGTTTTGAGCATGGCATTCGGTCAATCATGATATTTCCAAAATATTTTTTAGGATAATGCTAACACCTTAAACCTAAAATAAAGAATTTTCCTTAAATAAGCCAACAATGCAGTATTTAGCGCATTCATAGAAAATCCGGATGATGATGAACATAAATTATATTACCACCAGATAATATAGGAAATGTCACAGGTGACGAAGGTAATGATCAAAATAATCGTCAGAACAATTATAAGATGTTGCAGGAAAATAGTCAGAATATGATAAATAATAAACAACCATCTAAAAGAATAAAAATTTCAAATATAAAATGGGGAAAAAAATAGTGAAAAGCATAATAAAATGATTTCAAAAGAACCAATTCAGTTAGAAAATTCATTCCCTAATATTAATATAAAATCTCCTATCGTATATTTTTTGATGAAGACATATATTCACTTATA